AAAAAAAAACGAAAAGAAAGTTTGTAAGACAGAAGATATAACTGGCAGGAGAAGGAGCCTCGTAAACCAATCCTGTTTCGGGTAAACGAGATTATCGTTGTAAAGTTACTATCTAACGAATTTATGAAACGCTACACCGTCGAGTCTCGATTTAATAACCGCACGCTCCTCTGTTTCTCTCTTGGTTCTCCATAGTAAATTTTCGCTTGTATTTTGCGACTTAGTCGGTAGGTAGAGAGGTTAGAGGGGGGGGGAGGGAAGGGATAGAAATATGGCGGAAGTAGCGGGAGAAGACAGCGAGTTCGAAAAACGGTAAAAGGTCGAAAATATTGGTAGAAGGGAAGAGGATCCATTCGAGGAAACCGAAGGAATTCCTTTCCTCCACTTTTCCTCCACTGACTCTCTTTCAAACCTCACTCGTGATCCTTGAAAGGAGATATCGTCGCTTAGCCTTTTCCTGTCGATGTCCTCTCGGGGAGGTGAGACCCATCCCGGGAGGGGGGGGGGTTATTTCCGACCTACAAAGGTTTGTCTATGCCGCATGGAGTAAGGCCGAGGTATCGTCGAAGGATACAAATGTCGGCAGATGTGTTTCCTCGGTGAAAAATTTCTGGTTCGACCGAGTCGGGCGAGCGCAATTTATTCTTATAGGTGACTCGACGAGGCTCGCGGCTCGGTCGAGTATTTCAAACGTCCGCTTTTCATTTTGCCGGCTACTAGAGATAGATACATTTTAACGACGTGATCATTTTACGAAAATACGTCAGATACCTCCACCTCTTTTCCCTATTTTCGTCCCTGACACTCTTCTGTCTCCGTCTGTTCGTCTCATTTCTCCCTGCCGGGGAGAAAATCATTCCCATTCGGGGAGCACTAGCGCGCGGAACACGTAACGAATGCTCCGGTCAAAACGCGGTTGCGAGCAGAGAGGATCAGTTGGCGGAGGATTTTTACTCGCTTGCCCGTGAAACGAGAAGTCGAGCTGGGAACGACATGAAATCCTTGACGTTAATCGCATCGGGCATGTGTACGCACCTCGAGCGAGTCTCTCAGTGGCGGACATTTATTACTCTCTGGGTAATGCTTCTCCCTAGGCCGTAAACAGGCCATAATTCACGGATCCGCTTCGACTCTAGATTTTACAAGAATAATTGCTGGAACATGATATTACCACGTGCAGCTTCGTTCGTCTCTCGTACAATTTTTCGCTTCATATAATGCGTAACATATGCAAATTCGCGATGTAACGAAGAGTAACTACTGATTCCTTTTTACGAAAATATAATCCATTCTTACATTTCGCGCTTTTTTTTTTTTTTTACGAATATCAAAGTGTCGAAGAATGCCTCTACATCACTAACAACTATCCCTCGGTCGACTACCTGCCGCGAGTGGCATCCAGTTTGTGGTCAGTTAGTGGTTACCAGTGGTCACTTTCTCTAAAATCGTTCC